GAGAGAAGCCAGTGCTTGAGTGATGTTGTTTTTACTGCATATGATAATTCATACTCAGAAAGCAGAACTGAAATTACATTTATTACAAGATGATTAGTGAAAACAATTCAAAATGCACCTGCAGACTATTTATCCAGTCATGTATTTGGTCACTGAGATTTTTTTTTTAAATGTGTAAAAATCTTGTCTCGTCTCGTTCTCCTGAACCCAATCTCGTGTCTCGTCTCGTCTCTTGAGTTAAGTGTCAGCGTTAATGATAATCAAACAACAAAAGACGAGGAGAAAATCACTCCCTGCTCTTGACAGAATAGCATTTGTAGCTTTTATAAGAATGTATATAGTGAAATTGTGCCCTACCATCGCATTCACATCAATGCAACAAATAAATAAATTACTACTAGAGCACGAAATTGTTTATAAGAGAAGTGCACATATTTCTTCATTGATCGAGTCACTTGATTCTGCTCTTAAAATGCACCAGATTTATGCATTTAAATTTAAAATGAACAACACTTTCTTACGGAATTAATATTTTTGTTCGTATTTCGATTTGTTGTTAAATCAAACTTCAGTTTTGAAGCCTAAAGGAGTCATGGGTCTGAGTGCAGTTATTGGATAGCACTATATTGTAGACAGATTGGAGATGAATTCTAATAAACATGTGTGGAAGATGTTTATTAATCCAAATAGGAATTAATCAAGTATAATCATTAGGAATCTAGCCATTAATATATCCAGTTATACTTCCATTATAATCACATATGCCTGTGTGTAAAAACATGCCTACATGGCAGAAAGTACAGACCTCAGATGAGAAACATCTGGAAAAAAAACATAAGTGGGGGCTTTCTTTACCATAACAAGACTAGAGAGGGGGGGCTTTCTCAAGCGGCAGACGACAGCACATGCAGCTACAATAAAAACCATTACATTAAAATACATTTAAAACAGTGTATTTCAATAATTTCAGAAGCGTGCAGATCCTCGTTCATGTCAGACTGTGGCGACAGCAGCGCGGACAGCTCGCTCACATACAGCCTACCATATATCTATAATAACGGGAAAACATATCGTTTTTATGACATACTATCTCGTTATTACGAGAAAAAATATGTCGTTTTAACGAGAAAAATCTCGTTATTACGAGAAAAAATATGTCGTTTTAACGAGAAAACATCTCGTTATTACGAGAAAATATGTCGTTTTAACGACATAACATCTCGTTATTACGACATAATTGAGTGGAAAAAAGAATATGTGTGTGGCAGCAATGCGTCACCGTACAAGCGTGTAATTGAATATAAATATTAGACGCTTTATAACTGCCTTTTACGGGATAAAGCAATGACTGGAAGACGTGACTGTGTTCAAACACCTATTGGTTACAACTGAGTTTGTGATTTTATTAAACTTTATCATCTTTATAATTATTTAAATTTTTAATGCAGAGATTTAAAATATATTCACTATATACAATGCTTAACAAATTTATTAAAACATATTTATGTAAGGTTTTTAACAAATTATGGTTTGTGCCACTGCTGCTCTAAACTAACAGTACTGGTGATTACCAAAATCATTTTTTAGCTTTCTGTATGGGTTAGTCCTCCAATATGCGTAAGCTCTTTATTAACAGTAGTAGGCTGTTTCTAATGCTATAATTGCTGTTATCTATGAAAGAAAGGCAGAGAGCTTTATAGTGTGTTTTTTTTTTTCAGATACCCAGTCAAAAAGTACATAAACAATGCCAGCAAGAATGCAAGCTGTTATTAAGAGCACAGGAGGCCATTTTTGTTAAGTGAATAAATAATATTTAGTTGTTTAAGTTTATTTGCCCAATAAATGACAATAACATTTTTTGATTTAAACAATTTTTTGACAGATTCCTAAAATTCCTAAAAATGTGTTTTCTCTTTATTATGGCAGGTGGTCTAATAAATTAAGCACTGTATGTTTTCATAGCATTCAGTTGGAACGTTTGTTTTAAGGACATTGGGCAAGAATGTGCAAAGATAGTGTGTTTTTGTCAATAAAACAAAAAAAAGAAGTGTGATTAATCGAAAAAATAATCGACCATGGTCTAATAAATTAAGCACGGACTTTGTATAGCATTCAGTTGGTACGTTTTGTTTGAAGGATATTGGGCAGAATGTGTAACGGTGTGTTTTTTGTCAATAAAACAAAACATTTTTTTTTTATCCGATTAATCGATAAATAGGAAAAGAAAAATCGACCAACGAATCGATTATCAAAATAATCGTTAGTTGCAGCCCTAGTTACATTACACTGTTATTAGTTAATCCCGTGAATCGCACGTGGAAGTGTTGCTAGCATCGCTGCTTATCTTGCTAATATTGGCAATATTTCACTTAAATATATTTATGATTCTGTATAATATGTGACCCTGTCTGTGAAAACCCAGCTAAAGTCATTTTTTGGTGATTTGCTGTCTTCTATATAAAATCACCCTTCATAAGGTAAAGAACATTCTGTGAAAATGTAACATTGATATCTTTATTACTGACTGAGTAAGACCATGTCAAAGATTGAAATCATAGTGAAATTAATGGTTGAAATCAAACTTTGGTGCTTGTTATCTCATAATTAGATTTTGAGACTTTAGCCTGGATTTCACTGAGAGGGTCACATATATCCTACATTTGTTATACTTTAATTTCATAATGAGGATTTTGTATAATGTACCTTAAGTTGTTTATATGTTTGACTTGTTATATGTATGACTTTTACTGTAACCGTATGTAAACATTTAGTTTATTTCTGTTTTATTGGTGCATAAAGAAGATCTGTAAAGTTGCAAAGACTAAAGTCTCAAACCCAAAGAGATATTCTTTATATTCATTGATACATACTGAATTATAATCCGACAATTAAAAAAAATACCTTCGTGTCGCTCTATAATTTTACACAGAACTAGAGGAAGCCTCTTGTTAAGCTCATATTGTAGAACATAATACAGAACTTTGCACAGTCAAAACTAATCAAGTCTAGCAGTTTTCAAGGATTTATCAATCTGGACCGTTTAAAAGATAAAAGACAGGATCGTATAAACCGATATATTTAGTTTCGGTTTTGATTAATTAATTCAAATGTGCTCTGATTTCGGAGTTGCAGTGATAGAGCCTTCTGGTCATCTCACTCAACAATAATTAATTGTGATTACTTGAATATACACTCACTACATTCAAAATCAGATACGTTATAATTTATCACGCTAAAAACTTGTCACTCATGATGAATCGTAATGTCTGTCTGCTGAGCCCTCGTGATAAGTGCGGCTGTCGACGTTTACATCAGCACCAGCGTCTCTGCAGTGTGTGTGTGTGTGTGTGTGTGTGAAAATAATGTTCTTTTTAGCAACATCACATGACCCCTTTAAGGTATACTGTGATATGCCCTGTCCGGCTGGAGCGACGAGACAAAACCAATAAAACCCATTATAAACAAGGCATTTGTTGCATCTAGAGGGGACATAATTACTGATTATAATGACTTAAACTGTCTTTTTATTAAACATAAAACCATGTCTACATTTGTGATCGGAGAAACAACAAACAACAAACACTACTCTACACTGCTCAAACCTCGTGTTTGAATCGTCAGTGGCAAATCCTTTAATTATGAAAACGTACTTACAGTCTGTGAGTCAGAAGCGCCAGACTGTCCTTGCAAAGTTGGAACTGCCCCCCATAAAATGCGCTGCACACATCTGGATATTTGGGTTAACTGTTGTGGAACAGTGTTGTAAATACCACTGATTTGTAGTCGTTTCCTCTTTTGGAAGACCAAACAAAGTAGTTTCGCTTTCACAACGAAACACAGCGTCTTCACAACATGATGGCGGCAACAACAATACTACAGCGAGAATAAAAGTCAGGCCTTCTTTCTTTGCGTGAACATTTGGGCGGCGTTATGCAAATCTTCCCACACAGTGACGTAGACATGTGGGGGCGTGTTTAAACGAGGCGTTTTTGGAGGGCGTGTACCAGTCTTAACTTTTATAAAGAATATCTCTTTGGATTTGAGACTTTAGTCTGGAAAACTTGAAATCGCGTCATATGACCCCTTTAATGATTATAATGAAGTTTGCAAATGTGATTTTGATTTTATACAATAGTTCAATAAACAAGTTAATATTACAGTTTTTCTCAGTCGCTTTGGTGCATTTCTCACATCACTATTAACATTTGCACAACAGTTAATGCAGTTCTCAAAACAATTAGTACAAACTGCAAAACCTAGTTGATAACCTGCAAAAGCGTGTCACTTGCTCAAAATGGATAGGTCATTCCTCAAAAGCAAGTATTCATGTCAATGAAAGTGTCAGTGTCATCAAGATGAAAAGTCCTGACACCATTGTTTATGAACAAGATAGTCAAATGGCTTTGTCATGTTTTCATTATGACAGTTTACTCTGTACTCTGTCAACAATGCAAAAAAGTCAGATCTTGGTGACACTACCTGAAAATGCTCAAGACAGCACTATATACTATATACACAGCCATTTGAAAAATACAGTAAAGTTACACATTACTGTATTTAGTGAGGTAACTGAGTACAAGACACTGAATATGTATGTTTCACATTTTTACTGCATATGCTCTTTGCAATTCTAATTTGTTCACAGCATTGTGCAAAAGAAAAAAAATACACCCTTATTTACAACAAACATAAACTCCCTTTGGGTAGAGCTGTGCACAACATTGCAGTACATATTGGAACTGAACATACAACATACATAGTACTGTAATCATTCATGCACATCCAGACGTTCCTCTCTGTCTGACCACATAATTTCATCGACATCACAGCGAATATTATCTCTTGCAATGCAGCGAGGAAAGTATCTCCTCGAGTGGCGAATCCACCCTCTGCAGGACTCTGCTGTGATGTCATCACATGCTGCATCCATGGCCGCTAGCAGGGCCATTTGGGTATGTGGATGCCGGTCATAGACCTTCCACATCCAGGAAGAGAAAAACTCCTCTATTGGATTTAGGAATGGTGAGTAGGGAGGGAGATATGCCACCAGCATCCTATCATGTGCTGCAAACCACTGTCTGACGACATCTGAGTGGTGAAAACGCACATTATCCAAAACAACAACATGCTTGCTCAGATGGTCTCCAGTTAGACCCCTCTCATTCTCAGGGATTATGTCCCTGTAAAGAGTGTCTAAAAAAGTCAGCAGATGTTGTGTGTTGTATGGACCAAGACGGGATATGGGTGAGGACGCCGTTTTCTGAGATGGCTGCACACATAGTAATATTCCCTCCTCGTTGGCCTGGGACATCAATGGTTGCTCTCTGTCCAATGCGATTCCTTCCACGTCTTCTACCTTTTGCCAGATTGAAACCCGCCTCATCAAGGTATATGAATGTGTGCAGCGGTTCCCTGCCCTCCAGCTCCAGTACATGCTTTATTACAGAAGAGGGAGTGAGAAAAACTATAACAACTTTTCCTGTGTAACAATGCATTTTGGACAACATATTGTACAGTATGCACTGTGAATACACATACACAGAACTGTCATGTAAGTGTAGTGCATGACACTACACAAAGTAAACAGTTTACAGCACTGAACATTAGAATATGCATAGAACACATACATGTTTTACCTGTACATACTGGTGACGGAGCTCCTTCACTCTGTCGCTGTTCCGTTCAAATGGCACATTGTACAATTGTTTCATGCGCATTTCATTCCTCCTGAGCACTCTGTCAATTGTAGCGACTGAAACAGATTCAATATTCCCAAAGATGTTGTCATCCTCTATAACAGCACTTTGTATCTCTCTCAACCTTATGGCATTGTTTGCAATCACCATTGCACAAATGGCTTCCTCTTGTTGCGGAGTAAAAAGGGGCCCTCTTCCACCTCTGCAAGGTTGTCTTGCAATCCTGTGTGGTGCAGAGTAAAATTACAGTAAATATGGCAAATCTTTACTGTAACACTACTGTACACTACAATACACTAAATGTGTGATGCAGTAAAGCTGTACGTCTAAATGTAAAATGTACAGTGACAAGTTCTTGTCCCACTGCAAGCTTCATGTATGACACAATGACAGTAGTGCAGTGCAGATTGTTTAGTGCTGAATTACTGTCCATTTATACACACCTGTTCTCCCGACGAAATGTTTGAATAATTGAATTTACAGTGGTTCTCCCAACATTTGGCTGCACCCTTCGACCAGCCTCAGCCATTGTGAGGCCGTGATTGACAACATGATCCACAATTGTAGCCCTGATTTCACCAGTGATCCGCCTATGTACTTGGCCTCGTCTTCCTCTTCCCCTGTTTTGTCCCCGCGAATCCACCCTCTGCAGGACTCTGCTGTGATGTCATCACATGCTGCATCCATGGCCGCTAGCAGGGCCATTTGGGTATGTGGATGCCGGTCATATACCTTCCACCTCCAGGAAGAGAAAAACTCCTCTATTGGATTTAGGAATGGTGAGTAGGGAGGGAGATATGCCACCAGCATCCTATCATGTGCTGCAAACCACTGTCTGACGACATCTGAGTGGTGAAAACGCACATTATCCAAAACAACAACATGCTTGCTCAGATGGTCTCCAGTTAGACCCCTCTCATTCTCAGGGATTATGTCCCTGTAAAGAGTGTCTAAAAAAGTCAGCAGATGTTGTGTGTTGTATGGACCAAGACGGGGGATATGGGTGAGGACGCCGTTTTCTGAGATGGCTGCACACATAGTAATATTCCCTCCTCGTTGGCCTGGGACATCAATGGTTGCTCTCTGTCCAATGCGATTCCTTCCACGTCTTCTACCTTTTGCCAGATTGAAACCCGCCTCATCAAGGTATATGACTGTGTGCAGCGGTTCACAAATGACTAAATGTTGTGGAGGTTGAACTAACTGTTGTGCAAATGTAAATAGTGATGTGAGAAATGTACCAAAGCGACTGAGAAAAACTGTAAGTGACTTTCATTTTTGGAACACTATTGTCTCATTTTGCTCTATTTAGCCCAACATTTCCAACAAATTCACAGCTGAGCCGCCACGCATCTCAGAGCAAACACAGCAGTTTAATTTATGAATGATTGTGCAGATTCCCCGTTTCCATGGTAACTCACTCCGCTCCAGTTTAAACGTGACTGGAATGTTTATCGCGCGCGCCCATTAAAACACGTTACCAGCGTTTACATAAATAATACATAAAAGTCAGATCAAATGTCCTGAAACTTGATCACGTATTGTTTAATGGATAGTAGGCCTACATCAAACTGTAAATTCAATGAGAATATGAAAGCAGTATTGCAAAACATTGTTTGAAGTCAGTTTATACATATATATATATATATAGAGAGAGATACGCTGGTTGCTATTTGATCGTGTCACCAAAAATGTCATACTACATTTACATGGACATCAATACTCCGATTTTAATACGATTAAGACAATACTCCGATTAAGAATCTACCATGTAAACAGAGATTTTTGATTACCTTAATCCGGCTAAAGTCATAATCGAAGAAA